CCTGTTGTTTCTGAGTGAAGCATGCTTCTCTTCATCAAGCATTGAGTTGCTTTTCCCTTTCCTGTCTGTTATACACCCTCATGCATGCATATTGGGGAAGCTACTTTATTTTCAAATCACAACTTTCCATTGGTAACATTATTTCTATTGCTTGTTATTCTTATTGCTTATTATAGTGTTGGGGATTAAACAGTCAATTTAAAGTTCCTGGTGTGTCATAATTTCTTAATTGATGGTCATTATTATTATTATTTTTTTGGTACCGGGGATTGAACTCGGGTCCTTGCTCTTGCAAGGCAGGCCACCAAACCACTGAGCTAAATCCCTGGCCCTCGATGGTCATTATTTTGGCATATTGTAATTGTGTGTTTATAGAATGGCTAATCTCACACAAACATCTGCTTCTCAAGGCAAGAACAAAGTTTCATTCATCTTTGTGTTCCCAGTGTCTAAAACCATATTCTCAGCCAGGTGTAGTTTTATACAGATCCCCCTCATTCCCAAGGAGAGTTCCCAATGTCTGCAGGCCTCTGTGATTGTCCCCATTGCGAGGGGAGAGGTGCTACTGGCACATAGGGGACACTGATAAACCTACCATGCACAGCCACATGCAGTAAACAGTTATACAGCCCCGAATGTCACTAGTGTAGAGGTTGGAACTAGTGGTCTGGATTATTAATAGGTGCACAAAAATCTTGCTGCATGAATAACATATGGGTCTCTGGATGACAAATGGATTGATGTGTATGGGAGCATAGCTGGTCTTCTAGAAGCTGAAAATTGTAGCAATTCTGCTTATTTAATTTAATCTGAAATAAAACTAGAACTACTTCATGAATGAAGTGGATGAATCATTTTTGGTTTATTGTGTAGCCTTGGATAGATAGTCACAGTTAGCCATAGTCTATATTTGCAGATCAAACTGCAGTAGCAACCAACATTCACTGAGTGTTTGGTCATTGTTCTCTGAAGTATTTTGCAGGTGTTATGGCCCCTAAAATGACACAATTACTTTTGCTATTCTCAGTTTACAAATGAGGAAACAGAGACTCAAAAAGGCTATTTGTCCAAAGATACTAAGTTAAGTAAGTGAAGGAAGCAAGATTGGAATCTAAGCGTTTCTGATTCCAATGCTTATTTGTGTAGTCACCTTATTATTCCTTCCAGATACAGTAAATTAAAAAGTCAATAGTACGTAGCTACGAGCCTGGTGTTGTTATGCAACTTCAAGGATTTTCATGATCACAGCTCATTGGTATCTTGTAGACACAAGAGTTGCCCTATAGATGACTTTGAAAAATTACCACATTAAAAGTTCTTTACATTGACACATTACTTGAAGGTTCTTTAATATTGAATGATGCTCATAGATTTGGCTCTTATTGATTTGCTAAATCTTTTCTACATGGAAAATTCAGAAATGAAGCATGCTTAGATAATGTCAACATAGATTCTGATATTGCTTCACATAATCCCAGCAAAGTGATTGGACAGAGGCATATTTCTTACTGATTTTTTTTTCCTTTCTATCTTTTGTCCCAACTTTTATGCTTAGAAACTTGTTTTACAAAGAGTGATTCCAAATCCTTTCCTCTTTTTGAATTAACACAGCCTGTGTAGAATATCTATTTGGTTTACTCTGAAGGACTGTGGAGTCTGGCAAGCTTCCCAGGCCAACTAATGTATGGGGGGAAAAACAGTGAAAACTACTGAAGGACTAGAGGACAACTGTGTTATTGTAAAGAGCTAAGAGGAATCGATGGGTTAGCTGCTGTGGAACAGGTGAGAGGCAATGAGCTGCAAAAGCTGGTTGTATAATGCCAGTCATTTCATCTGTGAGAAAAATAAACTCTTGAAAACCTTTAGGTATCTTTGATCAGGACATCAGCACTGAGAGGGTGGCACTTGTGAGTCTGGCTCCTAATTTCCCCCTCTGCTTAGTTTGTCCACCTCCCCTCCTGCTCATCTGTCTGTCTTGTGGGTCAAGGCATTGACCGGGCCGGCACAGCCTGGGGCCTCCAGGCATCAGGTGCTGGAGCCCAGCCCTCAGCCCTGAGCAGCTCACGCGCATCTACACCCCTCTCCATGTTGTCACCTGTGGCTCGGTTTCCCCCTCGCACAGGGTGATGAGTCTGCCTGTGAGAGTGCTCAGGACAGCGAAGCGAGGGTGCAGGTGAGAGTGGAGCTCAATGTTTGAAGCGTACTAAGGGCTCAGGAAATTCTTATTAATGAAGGCGAAGCAGGGAAGGATTCCAAGAGCAACTCGCATTCGAAGAAGTACAGTAATAAAGAAGGGGAGAGAAGGAGGGGGCTCCACGGGGCTTCGTCATTCATTACCTGCAGTTCCCTTTTCACCTTTCTCTCCTTTCCTGCCGTCTCTACCATCTCTTCCCGGAAGGCCGATCCGACCATGGTGCCCAGGGGAACCGTTTGCTCCAGGAGGCCCTGGAGGTCCAGGTAAGCCGGGAATGCTGCAGATGTATCTCGGGGAGTAGCTCTCTCCTTTGACCTGACTACCCCGAGGTTGTCCACTTGCACATATGGCAAAGCTTGTAACGTAGAGCAACACAAACATCTTTGGCTCTGGAAGAGAAACACACAGACATAAACGCAGCCTCTCAAGGAGGGGATTTCACACGATTGCCTCGGTAAGAACGTGAGGACCGCATTTGCAACAACTCCTTCCAGTGTTCGCCCTTCCGTGCATGGAAAACCAGCTTTCCCTCATAGACCCTGGAAAGCTGTGCGCTGCTATGGACAGCGTTCTCGGTGCCTGACTCAGGGTGGTGTAGATGAAGGATTGATCGGAAAGATTTCAAAACAAATCACTGTGCTGCGTTTATTCTACAAAACTCAATGGCAGACATTGAAAAATGACCCTTTCGTTGGGCAAAAGTAATGAGTTAAAAGTAGAGTTGTAAATGAATAAGACAAAAACAGCACTCTGTTCTTACCATCCAGAGATAATTACCCTTTGCACTTTAATATAAACATCCCTCGGCACTTTGTCATTTTTCATTTTCTGCAGAGAAGTGATGTTGACTCATTTCCATAATTCAACGTTTTACTTCACTTAACAACGTATTAAGAACATCTTCCTAGGTTAAAAATTATTCATGACATTAAGAATCCTTGCTTCTGTCTTTACTACGTTTTATGCATATAACCCTCCAAGATAGACATTTGCTTTCAGTGTTCTCCAATATCAATGCCACGCTAGACATCATTCCATCTCATCTTTGCATGCATCTACGATTGTTTTCTTTGAATTTATGGGCTTTTTAAGGCAGAGAAAAGAAGAGGCATTTTCAGGAAAACCATGTTTTTCACTTGGTAATCATGTGTAATGCCAATTAGTGTTAATTGGAGTACTGTGCATGTCCTGAGGGGAGTCTCAAACTTTAATTTAAAATCTGCAGGATGTAATGCCATGGTGTCCCATTAAGCCATTAGCACAGGGGGTCAATTAAAGAGCTGTGTGAAATTAAGTCATGCAGCGTGCCTTGTGGTTGGAGCTTAGTTGGCCCCGGTCTCTTCGGCTCTAATGTGACAGGACTCGGGCTTCCCTCGTGAAGCCTGAAGGCTGCACGGCATCTACACTCCACTGAGGGTGGAGGAGGGTGGCGTCTGCTACACACTTCTGGTTTTTAGGATAAGCCATGTCTTGCATGGGGAAATATACACACGTGGCTTGGGGTTGTGTAATGAAGTCATTTTTGTTTTATAAAGAAATCTGCAGAGTGCTGGATCTAGACTATATTCTCCCAAAGGATATCATCATAAAACATGGGAGAAACAGTCAGATAGTTTCTTTCTTTCTTTTTTGATGGCTACCTCATAAAATTAACCAGGTTCAATGTACCATTTTTATGGTTCCCATGGGAAACTGCAACATTTTGAAATTTGACCTAGAAATTTGCCAGAGCACAGGAATAACAGTCTGAGAGAAGCACAGTAGGCTTAGGAGATTCTGAAATACGCCTCATTTGTGGAAATTTATTAGTGAGAAATCAAAGCCACTTATTTAAACAGAGGCTTCACATCCTCCACCAAATCTTAGTGTTACCAGCTCTCCACCAAATCCAAAACCAAACCAAAACAAAACCAGACATTGTAGCATCTTTGCCACTTTTTGCTGCTCCAATGCTCATCATCTGTGTTTTACTACTGTGATGAAATACTTTGAGGCTGGGTACTGATGCAGAAAAACAGCTCATTCAGCTCATGGTTTTGCATGGTGAAAGTTCGAACCACATAGTACTGGTTCTGCTCAGGGCCCCCGTGGCTCATTGCTGCGTGGCAGATGGCTTCATGGTGAAAATGTTGAGAGGAGAGGCGGGGGGGGGTAGAGAGAGTCAGAGAGAGAGATCACAGAGCAGTTAGAGAGGGAGCATGTCCTGTCTTGTGGCTTCCTGTCAGGCCCACCCCCTTAGTTTCTCACCACTGGGGGCCAAGTTCACATCACAGGAGCCATTTGGGAGCCCTTAAACTACGCCCAAGATGTGGGAAGCCCAAACCCCAAATTACTGATCCTGCTGCTCAGATGGGATTAAGGCACACTTTGACATGCGCCGTGAGCCTGATAAAGACACCAGCCCTTCCGAAGGAGTCTCAGATGAGAGAATATGGAGAGAACTTCTTACACACACTTCTTTCTGCCCCTAACATGTATCCATTAATTGCCAGTTTCTCTCTCTTGAGAAAGACTGAGGAGGGGAAGAGTCTCATCAGGAGGCTCTCAGCTGCATGTGGAATACAAGGTTTGAGGCTAAGGCCAGGAGGTGGTCCTGACAGGGACTAGAAATTATTTGGAGAGGAGGTTCTTGGACAGTGTCATCTCAGATACTGCAGCAGAGGTGGGAAAGCACAATGATGCCGAAGGAAGGGGACCAACGAGGAAGAAGAGCAGGGTGAGGACCTAGTTGGTAGAGAACAGAGGAAGTAGCAATTTAAAAGGCGGATTGGGTAGAAAGGATATTTAACATTGTCACTAACCAGGCAAGAATGGGCTCAAAAGGGGAATAAATTAAAGCAACTGACATGGAGTTATCACCGAATGAGTGGATTGCTGCTTCTCACTGACAAGTGCACTGAAACATTGTTTGTACAGAAGTCCAAATGCTTTAAGCCTGTGGATCCTTGTTGGCATGGAGCACTGTGAGGAGTATTTGATGTACAAGGAGGGCGTGATGGACTCAGTTCATTCAGGAAGACAGGGGCTGTGGGTCGGAATGGAGACTCACAGTGGCTTCTCTCTACAACGGTTCTCTCTTTCCCTTAAGGGCCTGAAACTTCCTGTCACCGGGTACCAAGGTGAGGTCCTCCCTACTCCCCTGACTTCATCTGTTTTCCAGATCCCTTTCCTACTTTCATCCTCTCTGGATTCCTTGGAGCTCCATCCTATGGTCCTCCTCGCTGTCTAAAACCCTTTTTTGTTGTGTCTTTCTAAACACCTGAGCATTTTTCATTAGTAGGTATTTGCAGCATACAATGATCACACACACTGTAGGGAGCTGATTCGTGCCACAGAACATCTCAATTTGTCCTCCCCTGTCTTCATGGTTTACTTCCTCACCTCCTTCTTAAAGTCTGTGCCCTAATACCATCATGTCACTGAGGGCAACTTTATCACCTTATTTAACATTGGAAAGTACTTTCTTTTACCCCCAATCCTCCTTTTCCTGCTCTATTTTTTCTATTCCCTACTGTGCTCATCATCTCAAATTCACTAGATTATTCCTGTCTTTATTTTCTGTTATCCATTTCTGGCTGGTAGTATACATAAGCCCCATGTGGGTAAGAGTTTTTGTCTTAATTACTGATGGGCCCAACTGCTTATATCAATGCTTAGTGTAAAAAAATCCCAAGCTGGGGGAAGAGAAGACTTTTGGGGAGAAGGTGTGAGTTTTGTGGAAAAAAAGTCAGAAATTATGAAATATGAGAATATTATGAGAAAGGGAGAAAAGAAGATTGAAAGAGAATTTCCTGGGGTCTGTGTGTCACTTTTGCCGTGTTTGAGATGTACAAATAAAGGGCTTGAATTATTTTCATTTCATACAGCCTGTGCTGTTTGAAAATATTTAAAATTTAATTTTTGTATAAATAATAATGTTCACTTCATAAAATTTTGAAAGAACAAAGAACATGCAATGAAAAGTACATAAATCTTGTTATTTTTCTGACTTCTAGATATCCAGTTGCCTCTTTGTGGATGATTACTGTTGATTCTCATGTGTCTGTTTCCCCATTTGGCACCTGTACACAATGCTCTGCACTTTACCTTTTCCCTTTGCTTGCTTATCACTGTAGAGAGTCACCCTTGGCATCCACAGAGGGCTGGTCACAAGACGCCTCTGCCATCCACATCGACGCCAAAATCCCAGGAGGCCCAAGCCCCTGATGGAAAACTGTGCAGTTTGTGCACATCTTCCTGAAGGCTTTCAATCATCTCTAGATTACTTATCATATCTAATGCAATGTAAATGCATGTACGTAGTAATTACATTGTTTATTCAGATAATAAGAAAAAAGTATGCACATGCTCAGTGCACAAGCTTTTGAATATTTTTGATCTATGATTGATTAAATCCTTAGCACTGGAAGCTGCGAGGTATGGAGTTGATCTTGGTAAATGTAGAGCTAGTTCATCCCTTTTATTGCAGTGGTTATAAAATACCGTTATATGCATGCATTATATTTTGCTAACCTCTTCTAATGAACATTTTTGTTCTTTTACTACTATAAACAGTGCTGCAGGGTGGGAACACTAAATACTTTTTCCCAGTTTGTCTTTTTATGTTTTTCCAGGTGTAATAAAAGTATTTTTGCAGTGGAAACAACTTTCAAATTCTAATTCATTGTGTTTAGAAGACTTTCCTCACTTTCAGATACTTAAAAGCATCCTTACGCTTCCTTTTGAATTCTCTTGTTTCAATCTGTCACTTTTAAAAATTTGATTTTTCTGGCTCCAAAAAGGGTACAACTTTGTATTTCCAGCTCCTTGCTTTGAATAATCAACACATCACCCACTGCCCACTGCCCTGCAGTGAACTCAGTTATTTGGAATGAACAGTTTGGGTCACAGCTTTAGAAGCTTTCTAATAATTGGTAACAGCTTTATAAAGATATAATTTGCATACCACAAATTAGCAAAGGTACACAATTCAGTGCACACCATAAACCACTTTAGAATCCTTCTAAAATCCCAAAAAGAAAACTTACACCCGTTAGCAGTCACTTCTCATACAATGTGCTTTACAGGCATGGAAGTGAGCTATGTAAATTTATGTAGATAGGCACAAACGTGTATTTCTTTCCACTTTTGTGCTACTTTGGAGTTGGAAATCAAAACTGTGGAAATAATGTGCATCTTGGCCAGGTCTTTCCTAGATATCAATTATAAATACTTTCTTATTTTCTGCAGAGAAAAACAAAGTAAAGAGCCATTAGCTTGTCACATATTTAAAAAAGTTATACACACAGGCATACACACATGTGTGCACTGTACTTTCATGTTAATCACGTTTAGGATCTTTAGGGTAGGGATGTAGTATTAGCGTTCTGTAGGTTTTCTTAGTTACAGT